GTTCCTAGTATTTATTATAAAGAAGAGGATGGAAGTTAAGAATCACTATTTGGGTACTGCAGATTAATTATTCAGGTGAGAGGTCTAGCCTCTCACTTGCAAGAACACTGTGGGAAATATTCTGTATTCTACTTTCAAATACTACAACTTCATTAGCCATTCTGTGTTTCCAGGAGCAAGTGTTCTAGTCATAGTTTCTGTCTATTGTCTTAACAATATGTCTGAAATCAAGAGTAAGTTTTAGACACTAACTGTACTTTTCATTTTGTTGTTAATGAAGGGAATATCTTCATGAAGGGAAATTAAAATAGTACCACCGAAGTCTTCTTCCTCACTCTGTTATAGTGTAATATCTGTAACTGTGTTTATACATACAGAAAAGTCAGCTTTAATAAAACATGAGCTTGATGGCAGTGACAATTTCATAGTCTTGAGCTCTGTGTCACTTTCACCAAAGGCAAAGATGACTTTGTCTCAGTTCTCAATACTGTACTAAAGACCAACTGTTTAAACAAAAGGTGATGAAATCAAAGCCTTGTGATTCTGATAAGTTAAGCAGATACTTATTGTCATGATATACATAGCATATGCTTTCTCTAAAGAAAGTCACCTTGTTTAAGTCCTTACATTCAAGTTTCATTTGGAGGTCTCACTGGGATTGGCATAATCGGCAGCTGGTTCATAATATACTGACCCAGTGTTTAGCAGCCTCAATACTGGCAGCTATATCCACTCACTGCTCTTTGGGGCTTAATTGCGCATCTGTTCAAGCAGGGCATGTTTTTCTCCATGGAGATGCCTTTTTATTGGGAATGTGGTTTGGTCAAACAGAAGTGTTTCCAGGAGTGAACTTTTTTTATACAAACATTTAATTCACAAATCTCGCAGCAAGGAAGATGAACTAGAACAATAGGTTTCTTTACCTGCTTACATCTGTCTATATGATTTTCAGGCAAAACCATGGCCTGATGGCAGCTGAGAATCAAGGTTTCCCTCATCCTTAATGGCCACAGGACATGTATTTCCATAGTGTAATCAGGAAAGAAAAAGATTTCAAGTACCTGCTTATGGAGGGCATATGTCAATTGTAGCGATAAATATCTTAGCTATAAACATTATTGCTCACTTGTATACAATTTCTGATTGCTGTTACAGAAGTGTGAAGGTCTTCTAAATCTAGTAATTTGAGTCTCAAAATTTTGGATCAATTTCATTTTTTATTTGTAGCAGAAAAGCTCAGTAGCTTTTCATTTAAAGGTAAATTAATTTAACTAGGCACTAGAAAAATATTCCAAGGAATGCTTTTCTGTGTGATTTGGAAGTAGACATAGGGAGCTGATCTCTGAACCTATGCAAATTCCAAAAGAGAAAGTGGGCAGGCAGTTTAAATAGTTTCAATAGTAAGTGTTCATTTTAACTGAACTTTAAAGCACATGGTGGAAGATCTTGTGGATTTAACTTTCCAGAAAGTATAATCCGTTGATTTACAACATTTTTAGAAAGTTCTTCTCAAGAGTTTTATTGGGAATGTCTATAAGCTACTGCCATCCAAATTCTGTAAATGCTCTAAGGATATATGTTGTTCAAAACTCTTATAATACTGAATATATACAACAGTGACTACTTTGTGTGACTTTTTATATGTGTAGCTTAGACTTGTTACTAACAACAAATTACTATCTGACCTAAGATGCCTTCATATTCAACATTTAGCAATTAAGTATTCAAAGCAAGTATGTAATTTGAAGTAGAATGTAAACATGTAAACATTAATGCAGAATAGCTTCTTTTTTTTTTGCCTGGAATGTACAAGGAAATTTTTAAAAAAGAGAGAGTTTTAGGTAGAAATATTTTTGATTTAATTCAGTCAGTTGCTAAGTTAAGTTTTTAATGAATTTGTGTTGAATTTTAGGACAAATATTGCAATCATTCCCTCTCCTGATAAGGTTTGCTTTGATTTATGGTATATTTCCAAACAATAAAGAATAGGCAGATTGGTAATAATGTTGTATTTCTTGAATTCATAATTAACTGCAAGTTAATGGAATTTTTTTTTTACAAGGATTCAGTTGTTTGAAACAAAGCTCAATTAGACCAGCAAATAATTCTGTGATATATTTCACCGTACTTGCAGTAGTTAATTTTTGTGTTCTTGCGAGTCAAAACATTGACAACTATTTGGGTGATGTTTCCAATTTTACTGTCACTGCAATTTGTATGCTTTGAATATTAACAGGCATTAAGAATAATAATGTTTTCAGGCTGGGTTATTATTTTCTTTAATAACCACTCTAAAACTGTGCTTCCTTTTTTAAAATAAACATTTTCACTATAATGGCAGTTCTGAATCCCATAATGGAAAGTAACTCTATATATTTATATTACATGATATGTTCCCTATGAGTAACTCCAAGAGTTTGTATGTGTTAAGGGTTCTCCCTGCAGAGCTAACAAGCTGCCAAATTACATTTCACTGGCTATTAATTGTTTCATTTTAAGGTCAAGTTCTTCTTGTACTATAAAAAATAAAAATAAAATTTGAAAAAATGGTGGAGAAGGATCACTTTCATAGCTACTTTTGTTTTATATTTTCTCTGAATGTTCTTACTGTACATTCTATTCTGCAGAATTGCCAAATTATTAATCAAATACATGTTTTTCTTGCCATAAAAAGTCAGATACATTAGTAGTAGTGATTTGGATTTAGTCACAGGCAGCTGATCTCTGAACCTATTCAAGCAGTAGATGACATCTCTAGCTCTGAAAACACATTTTAAAATATCTGTGGGCAGAGTGATCATCTCAGATAAGTTAAAGGAACTTGACTTCTCTTCAGAAAAAAGAAAATAAAAAACCTGCCAAAGCTGAAATGAGTCAAAAGACTTTGTCGTAGACCATGCTGTTTTCTTCTTACTCTTTGTGTGATTTGTAATTTGTGTGTGATTTCTCTTGGTAGATCATTTCCTGAAGGCATCTGTCTAAGGTTGTCCCTAACAACTTGTGACAGCCTTTCGGTCTGATGTGTGTTGGAAACGTAACCAATTGCTGGTATTATATGTTGGCAACTGATTCTGTGCTGTTTCAGCTCCCAAGTATTAATGGCAAATGTGAATGACTGGCAGAAGCGGAGCTACTCTGCAGTGTGGTGTGACTATGCGTGTTTATCTGGTTTAATGCAAGACCGTGTGGTATTGATCTAGAGGGCCAGCAAAGTAGAAGAAACAGCACAAGAGAAAGATCCTTTCTGCAAGCCCTTCAGAAGGCACTTAAGAGAAACAAGCAACTTTCCTGGCTCTAAAGATTGACTTAGGAATTTCTTGGATTATGAAGTTGTTTTTTGTCCAGAGAAATATGTTAAAAAAGAATCAGTCCCAAGAGCAAACTTGTTCTTGGCAATATTTGAGGCAGTAAGGCACCTGCTGCTCTCCATGAAAATGCATGAGCTTAAGGGCTGAGATATCCTAAAGATAAATAGGTGCTTTGATGTAGCCCTTAGTACTATCCATAACAACCAGGTTCTTTTGAATGAGTTGAAACACCTATCCTTCTATCTTTAGAGAAAGGTTTTGTAAGAAAAAAATAAGTTAGTTACTCTTTGCAGGGGAAAAAAAAAAGAAGTGTTAAAATGAAGATGTCAACATTTTCTTTTATATCTGCATAGGAACCTAAGAAGGGCAGTCCCACTGAGATGTAAATAGTTTCTATGTCTTAAATGGAGTAATCAAATAAAGCCTCCCATCTCCTGAGATTAGAAAATTCTTTTAGTGTTCATCATAGGGCTTTTTCTCAGAGTTCCTTGTCTTTTGGATCTTCTGGTTAAAGCTAATCCAGAAGATAGACTAATTTTTTAACATGGAGAGCAAGCTGCCTTATTGGTAAATTTGTTGTGACAAGTGGAAGGTCTGAGTTACAGATAGCCCTGGAAGAAGGTATCTGGCTGTGGAGTTGTATGTATTCCTGAACTTCCATTCCCTTTCTCCTGAGAAAGGCAGGACGTCAGATGGATGCACATAGGTGGTTGGATCATGTACCTAGTCATACAGTAAATATTTGTGTTGCAGGCCAGTATGTGATCTAACTAAATGACAGTGGAATGATTCATATGAGATAACTCATAGCTAGCTATGTTTAGTATTAATTCAAAAAAAAATTTCATCTGACATCTGTTGGGGGACTTCACTTTGTGTGGAGGTGTTGTTTGCTCTGGCTTGTGGGGGGGAGGGCCCTGGCACTTGGTGTGAGAGTGACCCTCGACAGACATCTTTTTGGTGTAAACTTAAATCTTACTGTTCTGAAATGGAAATGAGAACAGCTTCTTCCAATTTTCTATGGTGGATCATTCCCATGAGAAAAAATAAAAGGAAAAAACACTGCTGGACAAATATAGCCAGAAATCTAGAAGTTAAAACTACTGTGTTAGTAGCTTTTCCTTCTTTCTTTCATTCAGGTTTTTGTCTTTTCAGTTTATCATTAATGCTTTTCTCAATTAAAATAGCACAATTAGTAGATATTTTAAAAAACAGTGAATTCATTTAGATTAAATTGGCATGGAAAAATCTTAATGATTTCAAAGAGGACTAATCTGGGCACAGTGGAACTAACAGCTCATTATCTGTCTGAATAGAACAAGTGGTGCTAACAGCACATGCTTCTCTACTATGCTGCATTAATCTCTGGTTCTCTTCTGACAGGTCGTATCTCAGTATGCGGAGGTACTTGAGCCTCCATGTGCAATTGGTTCCTGGCCACTTTCTGAATCTATCAACAAACTTACTTGTCAATTAATGCTGAGCATGTACAGACTTAGTAGTATGGACATTTGCTCACTGTTGCTAGAGGATCTATACGTCTAGACTGATGTTCCATTTTTTATAATAAATAAATAAAAGCACTGTTTTTGTACTGAATCTGCTTTTTAAAAGTATCTTTATATTAATGATATATAGATAACATTTTTCATTGTTTTATTGTGTGAATGTTTCATCCTTCTTGTTTAGTAGGTCTTACAAGGATGTTCAGGCCGTCCGGTAGGTTATAGCATCTTCATATGCCTTCTAAAGTGCTTTTTGTTGCTTTCCCTCTGCATGTTTTCTAGTGTTACATGCCTTTGTGCTTTTGAAAGGCACTCTTTTGCATATCTTTTCTGTCCCACTAGGTTTGCAATGAGTGTTTATGATTCCACGGGGTTGAGTAAGTCAGTATATAATTTGGCCTGCAGGCTTATCTAAACAAAAGGCTGTACAACCAATAAGATCAGCAGTAGTGCATTTTGAGAGCCGATTGTTTTAAATCAGTTCTGCAGGATCCTGAGATATTGATGATTATCTAAAGTGCCTGCAGCAGAACATGTTACTAAGTACAGCAGCAATGGTATATGGCATTTTTTGCATGTAGTTGGTTATATGTTTGCAACAAGTGTGGACTTAGCTTACTTCTTGAGTTGCTATTTTATTTCTGTTCTGCTATATAACTGCTGTTTGATTCAGCTTGGCCTCATTCTGCAGATTTTCTGTGAGCAAAAATGAATTCAGAGGGAACATACAAGAACTGCAATATCAGTAGTATTGTTCATTTAGTTACCTAAAATTAGGTACATAAAATGGCTTGCTTTTGAATGGTAGTGATCATCTACCGCTCTGAACTGTGTACAGAACGATCTCAGTGTTATGTCCTTTGCAGATGGCTTACATTTGAGAACCTAGTATGGTTTTAAAACCCTAGCTTCAATTGCCCAGATTTTAACATTTTGATGGAAATGTCAGTGAACTAAAATAAGAATGACCATATCTTATTTATCCTTGTACAGACTCAACATTACCTGACACTTTTGTTCCACAATGCTAATGAAGAATTTTTCTCATTTATCAATTCTAAAAAGAAGTGATTCAATATATGTTAGTAAATGATTTGCCAGATTCTTCTAATGTGACAGTTCAGAACGGTTTGAACAGCATTTGGCTGCTGAGAAATAATAGCATTGAAGACGTTCTTTCTTCTCCTTTTTTTTTTTTTCCTTTTTTTTCTTTTTCCTTTTTTTATTCTTGGTAGAGTCCAGTGTTATTAGAGGGAAATATTAGAGGGTTAACTTCTGATTTAGGTTAGTTTTTTACTTCAATATTTCATTTGAATTGTTTTCCAAAGAAAAAAATTATTAAAGTCTGTAATGTTGCCTAGTTGTGATAATAATTTTGGTGATGTGCCAAATCCAACTAAATGCAATGAAAGGAAAAACTAGGGAGATGTGTGGGTGTTCTTTGTTTTGTTTTTTATCTGCTTGTAGTTTAGGACAAATGGAAAAGAAATGCATTTTAGTTGCAGTACAGCTGTTTGAATGTAAATCAAGAAGCCAGTTATGGGTTGGTGTTAAACCCTATTGTTTATGTGGTTTGCTCTTAATGTTCTTGCTAAGTATATAACTGTGGTATAAATAAACCACATGATGTAAAATGCTGTGTTCTTACTTTTCTTTCACAACTAATTTCATTTCAGAGTTATTTCATACAGGATAGCTTTATGAGCAGTAGTATAAAGACATTTTCCTAAGCAAAATAGAAAAATGGAAGATAGTAAAAATAATTTTAAAAATAAAAGCAGCATTGAAACACTAGGTTGCTAGACTGGAATTTGCTTTTAGTCTCTTAAGGCCTATTTTGATAATGTTTTGTTTAAAAACAATAACAACAACAAAACAAATGAACTCAACCTCCCCTCTGACCCTGCAACACATGCACACACATACACACTTGTTTTCATCTAATAGAGAAAGAGACTTTATTCTCACCACTGCTCTCTGAATGTTAATCTTTTAACCACTTTGGTAGAACACTAGTTTACCTTATGCTTTTCTTCCCGTCTGTGGGCTTTCAGCAAGTAATTGTAAATTAACAAACTAACTATGTTCTTTTAGTGTATATGAAAAAAAAATCATAGTAGATTTTTTGGAGATTTTGTCATAGAGGAATTAATGATGGAGCAGGTGTATGAAGAAACCAGTCTTCCTTCCCATCTTCCTGTGCCCCATACTTTATCTGAAAAAAGAACAGAGCAAAGTCTTCGTGGTTAATTTATCCTGGTTATAACTGGGTGCTGTTGCCTGCTTAAGGATGACCATGTCTCTGGGTCACATTTGGATCTTTCTTATATGTATTCACCATATTAGAAACTGACGAGAAAAATCAGAGATTTATGAAATCTGGATTTTGTTTGGCTATTATTCTTTTCTGAGTTTTTGTTTTGTTTTGTGGAGTCCTATGTTTATGGCATTCAGTGGTACACTAAGTAGTACTATGAATTCTTTTACTTCTTATGCTCAGAAGAAGCTCTAAATTCTTTAACTGAGCAGGAGCAGATTCTTATAGTTGTTAGTAGTCCTTAGAAAGGACTTCACTTCTCTTTCCTCCATGCTTTCCTGCCTGCCGTCCTGTTACCAGTTTCAGAAAGCCTTGCTTTTCCTTGGAAACATGGTTTAGAGTAATTGTGATTAAATATAGCAGATATAAATTAGATAGTTTTGTAATTTTCAGTCCATCAAAGGTGTTTTTTGTGTCCCTTTAGTTAGATTCCATCAACTTATTTTCATTCTTTTCGTATACTATAGCTCTTCAAACATTAAATTCCAGTGCTGAATGTTTTAGTGTTTAGTTTGAATGTAGTCCAGTTGAAGCGATGCTGTAGAACTAACTTGGGATGTCAGTAATTTAATTTTCTAGGAAGCAATTTTCCTCATTTCTGTTGTGTGGATTTTTTTCTCGCTTTTCCCCATTACGGCAGATGCATGGAAGGGAAACTACTTAGTCTTTTATTTGTTTTACTTATGGCACTTATTTCTAGTGATCCCACTCTCCAGAAACATTTATCTTTTTATTCCCATTTGCATTGTATACACATTATGTTATATGCATTCCAGCTCTGCTCTGCCAGCAGAGCCTTCAAGAATGATCAAAATTAAAACAGGGAACATTGTTTGAAACTTTTAGGGTCACTTGTAGCCATGACAAATTTGCTATTTCAGATCACAGTAATTTAAGGTAGTTTTACCATGATTTTTGAATTAAATATAGTAAAGATTTTTTAATGGAGCAATCATTTATGAATATTGATGCAACTGAACTCAAAGATACACACACTTCCCCTTTACAGTGGAAGTCAACTCTGTATTTAATAGAAAAGGACATCAGAGTTGGTGCTTTTTGAAACAAAAGTATTTTTCATCCATTGCTGGGTTAGCTATACTTCTGTCTATTCTGCAGTCTGAGTAAATTCCTTCAAATGTTGGCATTTGTCTTCCTTCCTACTCTGAAGTGAAGTTTCTAGACACAGTGAATTTCTGCTTACATTGAGGGCAGCCCTGAGGAGGAGAAAATCCTGTGGGGTTAATGTTTCCATACGAATACGTTTTTTTTTTTTTTGAATGTAATATATGTTATTAGCATCAGTTTCACTCATTCTGACAGAAAAAAAAGAAAGCCATGTCTCATATTAGAACCAATTCTTCACTGTAAAATATAACAGGCAAGGGAAAGCACCTACATAGGTGGTGTTCTTGATCTTTTTTTACCTCTCTTTTGCTTCTTTTATCTTATTTGTGCAGTAAAAAGACGTGTGGATGGAAACCCTCATGAAATATCAAGGGCCAACAGTTTCACTGATGACATTGACCTTGTATCTGAGGAGTCACCACTGCCAGCTGTTTCTGATGTGGCACAGTAAGTGAAATAAAAGCTTTTTACTGAATCATATAAATATCTGTCGATGGGGAGGAAGATTCAACAATGAATTTTCTTTGGCTATACTTGAAGCAATTACAAGCTTGATCTTATGTAATTGTATGTGAACATTTCTATGGCCTTCAAGTTTTTTTAATTTCAATGGAGGTCATCTGCTATTTGAAAAGAGAATTACTCTGTGATGGGTGGCTTTCAATTTTGATGTGTATATTTTTTTTACATTTTATGGCAGATAAAATGGTTCCTGAGAATGCATTTCACAGGTAGATTTATACTTTGCAGAGTTCTGAATCAGATGGATCTTTAAAGATCTTCTAGTGAATTGGGTGTTATGTAAATGTGGGTGAAAGACTTGACCATGTTCACACTTACAAAAAAAGGCATGGAACTGTTGCTGGGAAAACCCCTTAGGAAACATTTGAGCAAAATACTGCTTTTTAAAAAAATCTAGGTAAGTTTTGACTGACTTCTCTTAGATATGACATTGGAAGAAACCTTAGAAACTATTTTTTTTCCCAGTTATGGGAGAAGAACTTAGAAGGGAAAATCTTGTGTGTTAGATTCACAGGTATGTATTTTACCTGTCACTGGACTAACAATAATTTAATAGATATTCTATCACAGGAAAATATTCATGCTACTTCAGTGCAAAGTTATCTTAAGAGAATATAAGAAATACGTGTTCAATATGTTTGTCAATCTAACAGAATATGCGACATATTAAATTCTCAAAAATGTAGAACCAAAATAAGAATATTTTAAATTAAACATGCATGCCTTTTTTTTTTTTTTGGTTATTATTGTATGCTAGGAAACTGGTACCCTATTTGACAAGAAAACTGGAATTGTGCTCTTGCACTCTCAGAATAATGAGATTTCCTTTCCTTTTTTTTTTTTTTTTTCCCTCCAACTATTCTGCATTTATCAAGGTGGATGTGTGATGAAAGCTCTGTGCATATGAATATGAGTGGTGTTCACTCCATGACAGATTAGTCATCAAACCAAGATTCAGGGGATTTGTTTCCAGCTGGGAAAGGCTAAAGAGCTTTTCACTGGGAAAAATGACATTTAGGACCAGGCTGCCAGAATAATTAATACAGTGTGCAGCAGGCTTCCAAGGGGACTTTGAAGGAAAGAAGCATTTAGTAGCAAACTGAGTGTAGACAAATGATCTTTGTGGCCTACATACGGCCAACATACATAAACTACTCAGTGCATGACAGTGGATGTAGGAGAGAAAATTGGATTTGTGGCTTTTTTTTTCTTCTTCTGAGAAGCTGAAGATGGATCTTAATGAATCACTGAAATTTGTATTTCCTGAAGGAAATGCAGAGTTCTTTCTAGGGTGTCTTTAGGATATCTGCATAGGACTTGAAATGTCATGAACTGCTGTCAGAGGTTTGTGACAATTCAACTCTTTCCACTTCCACCAGTGTACTAGGGGGCCCTATGCCCTAAACAACTGTTTCAGGAAGACTATTTTTATATAGGAATCTTTAAAAAACACTATTATGAACAATGGATTTTTCTAATTGTAACACATTTCTGAAATTAAGCTGCTTGTATTCAATCAGGAAAAAAATGTAGATGTTATTCAGAATGATTTTGAAAGGAAAGCTATTTCAAACTGTACTGTGGTTGCTTTTTACTTGTTTTCTTTCTCTTTATATGCTTCAGCTGGATAACTCATGCAAATGATATACATGTTAAATGAATAGTAGTAATAATATGCACAAGATATCCTTGTGCTCACAGTTTCCCAGGATATGATACTTTGGTCGTTTCTTCAAATCGAAGAATTATACACTGCTCCATCTAAATTAAGCATAGTGCAGCAAAGGGGTTTGCATCTCGACAGAAACAGTCAAAATATTTCTACTATTTAGTACATGAAAACTAGTGTTATTGTATGATATTGTGAATAATGCACTTCGCAAGCTGTGCTTGCATTTCGGGTGGTAGAAAGCTGATGAAATATACACACAAAAAAATAGCATGGTCTTTAAAGTATTATGTTACATTGTTTAAAATAATATATTATTAATTGTTTTTGATGTGTATATCAGATGCATATAAATGGAACGTGCACATGAGCTTGCAAATGGAAGTTGCTAAAATGATAAAATTCTAAGATGTACTATATATGAATGCAAAAGTTTAAATTTCTACATATTCATAATAAACTTTAAATGTACAGAAAACAAAGATTAAAGAAAAAGTTATAGATGTGCTATAAAGTTCTACAGGTATTACATAACTCCCCACCAGCAAATTACCGTTTCATGTAATGTTTTATGCTTTTGAAGTCTAGCCAGTTTTTACTTTTGTCACTGATAATATCATTTTCTATGCTTGATATTCTATTTAATGTGCCAAAGATACATTAATTTAAGAGGTGTCCTAACTGGTCAGTAGAAATGTAGCCTTTAGTTATTCAAATGGTGAACGCCATTGGACAAATGCAGAACAACTTATGGATCTTCTTTTAAACTGCCATTTCTAATAACCAACATTAAGATGATTTTGACACTGTATTTGTGTGATATGCATGGGTCTTCTAATTGAGGTAGTAGATATACTGCATGTGCTTATTTACCTTGTCTTTTTACAGAAGCAGGCAAGCATTTATAAATGTTGTAGTGTGCCTTGGAAATTGTGGTGAGGAAAGCTTTTTTTTTTCTTTCTATTAAAAACTCCTCTTTTATTCTTCTTGTTTTCCTGATTAAAATGAGCAGTTTCCCTGTTTGTCCGTATGAGGACATTGTTTCATGTTCTGGCATTAACTAGTGGCTTCATCTGTTGTTGTACGCTTGTTCATTTGGAATGAACTATGTAATGGAATTGGGTTTAATGCATTCAGAAATTACACACATTTGATGAGTGGGACAAATCCTGATTCAAGAGTCGTGGTGTGGTCAATGAATTAGACAAATTTATTCTGAGAGTACAGTTCAGCCAAAGTTGTGTGCATAGTGAACCTTCTCCATTTGCAAAGTAAGTGAAAGCATGGCTTTGACATCACAGGTAATGATAATATGCTGTGATGATGACAATCTCACATGAGGAACGTTTTTGTGAAGTCAAGCATGACTTTGTCAAGGTGCCAAGTGGCAACATTTTCCTTTCTTTCAGGAACGATATGAGTTACAAGTTACATATGAACTCACAGTAAGTCTTCATTTCAAAGCCTGCAACTGGTCATTTTTTAAACTTTGCTGGCTGCTATATTGATTATTAAACATGAAAAGTCAGGCCTATAGTTGTAATTTCTTTTTCTGTAACACAGATATTCTTTTAAAATCTTCTGTGCTACACAGATGACAGGAGAAATGTTTACTAATTACACTAACCTTAACTATAGGTGATAGTCTGATCAAGACTTGTGCAAAAGGGTTGTGTGGGAAGGCAGATTTTGTCCCAGGATAACAGAATTGCTACACTTGAACACTACTGCCTTGGACAAACCTCTGTTGCATCAACCTGCACATGTTCATTAGCTCTGACAGTAACTACAGTGGTTACTAAGTAAAACGGGTTCAGCCTGTTAGAAACTGTTGATTTCACTACCAGAAAATCACTGTGCCTCTTGAGTGAGAGCACTACAGTTCAAGAGGCTGCAGCATTGCCCAGGTTTCGGTAGTAAATGCTTCCAATGCTAGATTTCTATTATTCTATCATACAAGCTTAGAGAAAGTATGTCCTGGTAGAAAACGGGAAGATATCAACTAATAAATAAATAAATAAGCTAGCAAGCTTGCAAACTGAACTCAGGCGTAGCATAACTTTCTGTATGAATATAGCTGGCATGATGTCTCAGTTTCCAGTAATCCAGGTAAAACTGTGGAAAAATGCAACCACTCTGAGTTAGGGAACAAAGAAGACATATTTTGTATGCAGTCCTGTTGCTGTCTGAAGCTACTGATGAATATCTGAGACCTCAGTTCTTAGGGTTAAAAATCTCTCATAGTTAAGGACCTCAGTGAAGCTAAGGTCCACTCAGTTGCTTTATATTGGCTGAGTTATCCAAAGCTGAAATAAAAATGAGATTGATAGATTTCGACACAGTTTTTTTCATTATAAATGCTGTCAGACCTGATGAACTGTCAGACCTGATGAACTTCAATCAGTTGGTGAACAGTAGGCTTTTCTGTTTCCACCAGCAGGTGGCAAGACTACCTTATCATTTATGATGTACTTGCCCAATTTTCTAATTTTGTTGAGTAAGCAGAAGAAGACTACACCAGTGAATAGAGAGATTGTAAGGTGATGTTTTGTTTGTGCTATGAAACCTTCAAAAAGTCGAGATTATATTTGACCAGTTAGAGGACATCTGCTTGGTCATCAGGGCTAATCTACATACACTGGTATCAGTTTCAAGGTGAAATCACATGTTTAGAGCAACCTCTGAGATCTAAAACTTAGATTTTAAAACTTAGGGTTTTTTTTTAGAGGTAAAAAAAAAAAATTCTCCCTTTTATCTTCTTGTTAATATATTTTACATTCCTAATATACCTTATAATACCTTTTGGGGGGGGAGGGGGAGGCAGAATTTGTAAAATCAAACAATTTAAAGATAGATTCTTTTATTCAGCTTGTCTCTAATGTTACTAATGAAACAGGTAAGAGATTTCTCTGAATGTCACTGAATAAGCAAGTGGCAAGCTGTGATGTCTGCTTTTTCTGTTAAGTCTTACTTGTCCCCTGTCCAGAAGCAGCAAGGCTGTTTTATCTGTCTGATGCAGCCTACCATATGTATTACAATGCCCTCTGAATAAAGACCTCATACTCTTTCTACGTCTGTAAAATGAGGAAGAAGATAAGGTCGCTGATTCTTGATATCTGTCCATAGGCAAAACAAATGCAAATAAAACTCAGAGTACTGGGAAATTTAGTATGTGACAAATAGGAAGAAAGGAGGAGAAATGCATCTTCTAGATGAGAGCAGAGGCTGAACAATAATGGATCTTTAATGCTTCATCCTAA